CACCTCGCAAATCTGAAGTGCTTGAAGAGGGTCACAAAGTCATAAGTCCTGGCAGGAAGTCGGAAGAACGAACGAACCCAAAACGGTTCATAACACCGCCACCGCCCAGAAACTTAGAAATCATAATTTCAGAACAATTAATTCAATTAATGAATGACAACACACAGGAGAACAACCAACATTCTGGTGATACGGTGATGTTCCATAATTCAATGCCTTGGACTTGGACTCGGACGTGGACATCCACATAGTGAAAGAACTCACATGCTCACTGCTCACAGTTCACAGGACCAGGAAACCTGCTACCATGGCGGCATGGTGTCCCATGAGGCCTACAAACTCAGTCCTCACAGAGTACTGGGTGGCGAAGCCAACACGCATCTGCTGCGGGCGAAGATGCTCACCGGGACGATATCCACGTATCTCCTCCGCCACCGAGTCCATGGCAGCCAGCGCGGCCAGGAAGCAGCTCACCTGCCAATCAGCAAGGGACTACTAAGTACTTCTCAGTACTACAACACTACTGCCAGCAACCCTGTCATAAGCCCACATCATGTCATGACATGGACAATGGCCCCCATGGACAAGGGATTGACATGGCAACTCCCCGGAATGGTCCTGGTCAAATGATCTGGTCAATATGATGTTTCACAGTGACATCTGACAACAGGCAAACATTTGGGACACCTGACAGCCTGACACCTGTCATCAAATGCTGATATTCATGGCCCATGTCATGTCATGTCACGCAACTGACTTCTGTGCAACAATTTAAGCAAGATGACCGTCTGATGTCTGGCAATGTCTGGGCCTGTGTCGCATAATGTTTCTGCAATGGTTAATGGTTACACAAAACATTCAAGGCCCATGAGGCATGCCATGAGGCGGCTCATTTTTCCAGGATGCGTCCAATGCGTCTGGCGAGTGCACGTGATGTGCAGGCCGCCTGCAGGCCAATCCAAACTTCTGAAGCGACGGGTGCCCAGTCAGTGCCAGGCTCCCGACAATTACTGCGGCCACACGACCACAAGACCACCAACTTGGCAAACGGGGGTGGCCAGTTTGGGCAGCTTTGGTTCTTGGTTTGCACACACCTCTCAACACATCTGGTTCAGTGGGCTGGTTTGGGATGTATTATGTTTCTGCCTGAAACTGAAACTGCCTTAAATCCAAACCCGTTGCATGACCCCTAAGGGTTCCTAAGCCCTAAGCCACTTTATTGTGGCATCTGGATCATCTGGAGATAAGACCTATCGAGCGCATGTGATGTACAGCGCAGGCCAAACTACTGAATGTGCCAGGCGCCAGGCAGGCTCCCGACACTTGCTGCGGCCACAAGACCACTAACTTAAACCGGGCGGTCGGAGTCCCAGACAGCTCTTGTCAGCTTTGGCTTCTTGGCTTACACACACCTATCAACACATCTGGTTCATCGGGCTGCTTTGGGATGGTCTGTAACTGTGAAGTTTACTGCCTGAAATCCAAACCGGTTGCGGTAGCCCTAGGGGCTCTCGCTCTAAGCCACCTGCTTCAGTGGCATCTGGAGAAAAGGCCTATCGAGTGCACGTGATGTGCAGGCTAAGCCTATCGAATGCGCCAGGCAGGCTCAGGCTCCCGACACCACTAACTTGGCAAACCGGGTGGTCCCCAATGGTTTCTTGGTTTGCACACACCTCTCAACACATCCGGTTCATCGGGTTATTCTGAAACTTAAACTGCCTGAAATCCAACCCGGCTCCCCGAAGGGCCCTCTGACCTAAGCACTAAGCCACTTTATTGTGGCATCTGGAGAAAAGGCCTGTGCAGGCCAAGCCAAACTTCTGAATGCGCCAGGCGCCCAGTGCCAGGCTCCCGACAATTACTGCAGCCGCTTGCCACAGACCGCTAACTTGGCAAACCGGGCTGTCCGGAGTTTTCAGGCAGTTTTTGACAGCCAGCTGTGGTCTTTGGTTTCTTGGTTTGCACACACCTCTCAACACATCTGGTTCATTGTACTGCTTTAGATCTTCTGTCTCTACCTGAAGGAACCTGCCTGAAATCCAAACCCGTTGCATCACCTCTAAGCTCGACCTAAGCCACTTTCATGCAGTGACATCCGGAGAAAAGGCTTTTCGCCTGGGAAAAAGCTAGCAGCCCGGCCTGGCCCTGTGGCTTTATGGCCCCACTTTGCACTGCTTCACGAGGTTGACAAGCTCGCCCTTCTCAAGGAGGCCCGCGAAGTGCTGAAGCCGAGCACGCACATAGCGGGGCGTCAAGCCCCACCGCCGCGCAAGGATCATCGCCAAAAAGGAGCGGCGAGCCTCCAGCGCCTTCCTTGGCTACTGAGCCCACTGAGTCTTAATCAAAAAATGAATCAAAAAACAAGGATACCCAAATCATGTCTACTGCTGATTGACCATCGCAACTGAAACTACTACTACGTTTCCCAAATGCGCTGAGAAAAACACGTCGGATGGGTTTCACTAAAACATCTGGAGTTGGGGATGGGGGGGTCGGTCCAGGAACCTTATGATTGCCAAGTATCGCAGGCTCAGCCGGCTTCCTGATCCTGCCCCTGCCCTCATCCTTCTTCACCAGCTTCTTTGCCAATCCTAAGATGGCGAAATGAAGATGTACCGTACCGATGTGTGTGTCTGTGAGTCTGTGAGTGTGCTTTTGAAGTTTGGGTTGAAAGACGGGTGGGGATGGCACCAACATAGACAACAAAGTAAGTAGTAGGCATAAGTACACTGTTGACCAACATGGCCTAGCCACTGGCCCCCATCTCCAGCGCAATCTGCCGGCTGCGGTCCCAAGCGGCCCCGCAAGTAGGGCAACCTGAGGTGGGTCTGCTGTTTCTTATACCAAAGAGAGAATGGCCCATGGAAGCTTATTTGGAAAACTGAAACTTCCCGGACTCCCCGACTCCCACTGATGAGAAAATAACAAAAACTAAGCCCAGTGCAACCACTGGCACTGCCCCTGACCGGCTGGGCCGGTTCCTCCACCTCCACCTCCACCACCTCCACATCCTCATCGTCTTCATCGCAGAGCTCCGTGGGCGAGTGCACATCCGAGTCTGCGGGCGCCGTCGTAGCGCTGAGCACGCCGGGGCTGAACACGTCGCCATCAAAATCTGCAGGGTTCCAAGACTCCAAGATGGCTACGATTCAAAGCATAGATTGGAAAGTGTAACAATGTAATGTAACAGTGTAAGTGTAACATGATGAGACGCTTGTTGTATGTTAGTTGGACCGAGTTGGACCTTGCCATTGCCCCCACCCACCCACAGTACTTAGTGGATGGATTGAGTATCAATCACCCCGAAATGGTCTTTGTAACATGCTATTAGTAAACCCAAACCTTCTCCTCCGATGATGGTCATGCCCTCCACGTCCATGTTCACTGCCATTGCGCTCAGCGAGGGGCCGGCCGGCTGTGCAAAGCAAAACTGGTAAGCACAAATGCTACGTGGTCCCATCATGAATACACCAGCCAGCCCGAGAATGTGCTGAACAAGTGGGACCAGCGCCGCCAAAACAATCGCCAACATTATTGTCCAATCCAGTTTGTGATAGCGTTCTTTGTTTCCAGCCCTGTTTGAAAGATCCCTCATTAAAGGGTCATCAACGCCATCAACGGTTCAGGCGCTCGGAATGAAACCGGCCTAGGCCCAGCCCAGAATCCAGAACAACAAGAAATCCAAAACCCGCTAGATGACGGTGACGGCACGGTGATTGTTACCGTTACCCTTTAATCTGTCCAAGCCCAAGCCACTGTGTACTGTGAACCTGATAAATGGCAATAGGGTTTGATGATACTTTGTCAGGAATCGGGCTCACCAAGTTGCATGTCGTCAACGCACAGCCACGTCAACGCTGAACACCCAGACAACACATTGAGTAATCCACCCTTGCCAGACAATCACAATGACGTGGACATGGTTCATTTAACATTGAAAAGTAGGCATACAATTTACATATGGAGGGCCCAACCACTTCCAACAAAGCGCAACATGTTCCCCTCCCCTTATAAAACAAAGTTCCCTTCAGTACTTCCAGGCCGTTTTTTTCAACCAGTTCAATCCTGGAGCTCCCGCTCGCCACCCCGCCTGAGCTGCATTGCCGCCATTGACCACCAGCGAAAACAGCCGCCCGAGCTCCACCTTCACGTCGTCCAGCCGCGATGCCCATTTCCTGTGCAAATTTAAACAAGCGGATGCACCCATTTATGGTTGGGATTGTCCCATAGCACAATGTGTTGATGTCAAAATGCATGTGTGTGTGAATATTTGTGATGATTATGCGATTGTGGTTCTGTGGTTCAACTCACAACTGAGATTTTGGGCAATCCCTTGAACAGCCCACCCTCAAGCACCCTCAAGACCCCGCCTGAAGGCATCATCTTCCATGGCGGAAAGGCCATGTGGGAAGCTCACTGCCTATTCAGACCAGTATGTTCTGACACATGTTTAATCGTTTGCTGTGCTTTTGCAACTAGATCCTTGTGGTTGGTCAAATTCATCCAGTTGTGACCCTATATGCTACTTTATATGGCCTAAAAATGACCTCGATATGATATGATACGTTGATGTGATGTGGTTTTTGCCGTGTTTTTTCTAAATATAACCATGTTGTGATGCCTTGAGACCTAACCAAACAGCTCTGCCACATGCGGTGCCAACATGTCAGCTCCCAAATCCCCTGCCGAACCGACACACATCGACCGACACCCTCCAAAAAGTTAGCACCCATAACTGCCAGAAACGTCAAACCCACGAAATTTAGCAGCCTGCCATTGATGTTTTGTCGACACGATGTACCAACACTGCTTCTCCGTTTCGCGTTATGGTTGGTGCCAGCCAGCCGTTTTTTGCCTGTGGACATGACTCGAGCCTGCTCTGGCCCTGCCACTGTTGGGCATGGCATGTGTGACAGTGCTTCAACCTCGTTCTTTGATTTTAGACTGCAAGAACAAGTAGGCAAGAATCTGCGATGCTTTTTGCATGATTTCCTGCGAAGGCTTGGACCGCCTGGAAATGCGGCTCTCCAAGTCTAGCCGAGAAGCGCGGGAGATGGCACACAAGGCATCTTGGAAAGAGCAAGCGGAACAACTTTTTGTTTTTATCGCAGGTCGCATCTCAATTCGGTTCACATCAATCCAGACGCTAGCCTGTCGATTTGGAATGCGCAGATTGACAATCAGGGTTGCTAACTTTGCTGTGTGATTGCGCTGGGTTGAGCAAACGAAACCCAGGAGAGTGCTCTGGAAATGCTGAGCAAGGCAAGATCTGCTGGCTTCTCCTTCGGCCGGGCCTTGCAGGAAGTCATCCAAGGTGCCCAGGGCGTTTCTCGCTGTCGGGAGGCTACCAGGTTAAAGGCGCAGGCGCAAAGCGAGCGCAGTTCGTAAGTCAACTTGCCCACGTTACCCAAGTGGCCATGGGTCAAAACCCCGTACCCCCAGTGAACATCCCAATCCCCACTAAAATAGGTTCTAAAATGGGTGGTGAATTCACCTATCCCAAAATGGGATCCCATTGGTTTTGACCCATGGCCAAGTTTCAATGTGACCACAACTTGCGCAGCGGCCAGTTCAGCAGGCACTCCTGGTTGCAATGCCGGCGCGCTGACGCTGGAGGAGGAGAGCACCGGGACTCTTTGTCTCTCCTTTCTTGGGTCCAAGTACCAAGCGCGTCAGACAGGCTCGCCTGGTGAATTCGGAGTGGTGGGCCTGTGTGACGCGAATGAATGAATGAAGGGTATCCTAGTCACATCCGGATGCAAAAAATGGTAGCAATAGAGTGCTGCTCACTTCCCTTTCCTGACGGTGCCATGTGATTTGTCAGCTGCGGCAATGCAGAGCATCCTTCTATGCTGGCCATGTGTGGCACTTGTCTACCTGGGCCCCAAAAGGACATCATAAGGTGTGGCTCGCGTGCGATTCTTCCGCACACGGAAGAATAACTCTCAAAGTGAAAGCTGCAGCACAAGATAGAGCCAGAACAACGTCACCGCCATCACGACATATGAAGCAGGTTCACATTCACCATAACGAAAAGGGATGAACATTCGGCATACCCGCCAAGCTACTATGAAGACATGTTCACAGACCGATCGTTGCTCATCACAATCAAATCTAGCGCAAGCAGATTACAGTCGTGGTACATGCCTCCGTGTGCTTGGTGTCTTAAGCAGGTAGATTGCACATGCAGATGCCGATATGCTCGTTACATACACATGTGCATATGTACACATTAATATATAGATATACATATATATTTTTATATATACATATACAAAGACACCACCGCACACCTTTGTTGCATTCATATACACAAGCGATTCTTTTTGACTAAACTTCTACATCTACTCATACGTATACATGTACGCACACACACACAAACCGATGTGTATATGTATATCTGTATATATGCACATATATATATATATATGTACACATATATATATATATGCTACGTGCCGTGTGTTTCGCAGGAGCTGCTGGACTTCGCCTCCTCGGCCGCGAAGGGCCACGGAGGCGCCGGGGACTTCCTCCTGGGCCAGGACCTCGCCTCGTGACTTTGCCTTGCGGCGATCGCGATCGACGTCGGGAGCTCTGCCTTTTTGGACTTGGGGAATCGGTCCCTATCGTGGGGGTTGAGAACCATTTGGCGCCCAGAGGAAAATCCTATTCGCCCCTATTGGGGGGCATTGGGTTTGGGGGGCCCTTGACAGCCATAAGAGGAGAATCCACTTTTCATTTCAGGAGGAATGTTCAGGATCTCCACAATTCCTTCGCAGCTTTCTGCAAGTGATGTCACAGAACGTTGCGGGGCAGTTGCAGTGTGCTTTCTTGCCGGCTTTGACATGCATTGGATTGCTTCGTCCAGGCATGAGCTTCTCGGCGTTGTGTTCTAGCTTGAGCGGTACTGGTAGCGTTTCTGTCTCAACGTTTCCCACATTAGACAGATGAGCTAACATCACTATGTTTTTTGTCATCCCCGTGCATATTGTCACCGCATTTGGAACACGTTTGCGTTGACAATTGTGCCTGGATTCGATGTTTCTGAACAAACATGGCTCACTTGCTGAGACGTTTTGACTCCTTTGAGTGAACCGACGACAGGACTTTCCGTGGGAAGCTCACTGTGCACGCCATAGCTTTCCGCTGCGCAGGATGTCGCCTCGGCTGCGGCAGAGGCCTTTGAATGCTTCGGGGGCGTGGAAGGCTACAGCGCCTACCTGCGCAACGAGGTCCAGCGCCTCGGGCGAATCGGATGAGACTTGCGAAATCGGAGAGCGATTCGTCCTGGACACAAGTCTCAGCGAAGTGGCAGAGCAGGTGTTGACCGTGGCTCATGGACCCGATGCTTGGTCACTAGCGGAACAGGGGTGACACAGGTTGGCGTACCGATGTGAGCCCTGGTCGGGCTCAATGTTGAACGCTGCCAATACCGCAGCACCAGTGCATTATGAAACATGCTTTACTAAGCCCTTACCAAGGCCTTAGCGCGTATTTGGGCTCCCTCCCACGCAATCTCCCTTCCCCCCAGCTCCCATGAGTAGATGTCAAATGTACTCTCGCCACTCGTTTTCAAGCCCCCGCCACCGGGACATTTTGAAGATCGCACCAGCTTCCGCAAGAAACATCGAAGTGTATGGGATTGAGCCGAGTGAAAAAAACAAACGCAAACAGAAGCAACCAAAATACAAAGCAACCGACACCACTAAAAAGTGTTCAGAACCAACTAAAAAATACAACCACAACACAACTGACACCAGCAAAGCCAACGAAAAGACCCGTAGACGCGGAGAAAAACGACCGCGGCGCTCGGCTCTGCTCTGAGGATCCCCGGCGCCGACGTGGCGCTCAACGGGGGCGCCGCCTGGCGCCGCCTGCTGGCGGAGATCGAGGTGGCCATGCGCTTGGCACGCCCCCCTGAGGCGAGCCGGCGGTGTCTGCTTCAAAGCTTTGTTTTGTTTGTTGGGCCATGAACAAACAAAAGGAACAAGAGGAACAAGAGGAACAAAAGGAACAAACGGAAGACTGAAACACGCACTTCTTCCTTTTGTTGTTGGTTTTTTTGGTTAATTTCTCACTTTTTGCAGAGGCGGATTGTTTGTTGTTTCTGGGCCATGAATGCGGGACTTGTTTCTTGTGCACTCGGTGTGCCAGGACAGGCGGAAGCTTCATTTTTTGCTTTTGGCTCAGCAACCAAAGCGCCAATGCATTTCATTGAGTTCTGTGGCCGATGAGGAGTCCATCAAGAACATCTCCTTGGCCGCGATTTGTGCGGGAGGCCAGGTGGGGCTTCAGGACAGTCGCCGGAAAGATACGGCGTCCCATGCATCTATGGGTTCAGCTGCCATTCAGTCCAGGCACTGGTGTCCATGGGCATCAGCGCTGGGAGGTGCGCGGGGCTGAATGAGCCAGGCCTTTGCTTCTGAGGGTATTGACATATTCCGTTCGTGGACACATCTACTGACATGCCGAGGGAGAATATCTGTCAAGGTTGCCAGTCCGAAATATCCAAAGACATATAAAGGAAGACATATATATATATATACATACATATTGCGCACATATACATACCTATACATACTAGTTAAAAAAGATTTACCAGATGCTCTCTTTTAACTTTTACCGTAGCCATTTTGGCTCAAGAAGCTTTCTGAGAAAGTTAGAAAACCGTTCCTTGACATGACAACATTGTATTTCCAACGCAATGAATGCCACTTTTGCGTGGACTGCAACGACATTCCAAAGCTATGTGCAGATGATCCGGAATGCCCCAGAAACAGCAACGTTGCTCTGTGCCCATCATGTGCATTGAACAGAGGGTACGAAGTTGTCATTGCTGCCAATGACTGGGACGATGTGCCACAAGAAGCAAATGAAGAGGCTGAAGTTGGCGAGCCTATGACGTTGTATTTTGAACACAACGAGAACTTCGTTTGCGAGGACTGTGGTAATACCCCGTTGCAATACGTGGAAAATCCAGAGTACCGCGGAGAAAACCTCGTTATTCTTTGTCCGCCCTGCGCGGAGAAGGTTATATAGCAGTACTTGCCGAAGATGACGTTGCCTAACAAGGCAAAACCCCGTGGCAAATGGGTAATATTCTAAATATAATTTTATGATTCTACTTTATAATATTACGAATTGATGATTTTGATAAATTTTTATTACATATATCATTATAAATATTATTTAATTTACATAATTACAAATAGATTTTTCATAAATATGAATTTTATTAAGTTTATGTAAATGTTCATTTTTGTATTTCTTCAAATATTTCTTTTATCAAATACATTTTATTAATGAAATAATAATTATATTTATTTATCCAATTATAAATATAATGAAAATGTTAAATTTTTAATAAACAATGTGTATATTATAATATTTTTTTACTATGACGATTTTGGTACAAGTTCTACAAGTACACCAGTTAAAAATAAAAACCATTATAGAGACAATTGTTGTAGTGATAGACACTCATGAAGTGTTCTAGAAGCTTATAAATGAGTCAGATGTTTGCATCGTTGAAGAACTCCAATAAATTATTTTAGTTTTATCAAAACATAAAACAAAAATATTAAAATAATATATTATATCTTTTTTAAAAGTGATGTATTATATTATAATTATATATTACTAAAAAAATGACAATTTTACTACATGTTTTATCCATTAAACAAAAACTATTACCGTAGCCATTTTGGCTCAAGATACACCTGTGAATTTCTGCAGTCTGATTTTCTATTGTCTCGCGAGACCATGGAGGATTATTACACTGCGCGTAGATGGATTCCCGCAGGGTGCTCTACGCCCTCGTGTGAAGCGCGCTGGGTACTTGCTATGGTGGCGCCTCATGTACGTGCATTTGTTTGGTGGCTTGTGACTATTGATAGCATCACCGGTTGGCAAGACTGGACGAGGTGTTATCAATATGTGGTCGAGTCCATGAACAATGTGCTGTACTATCGTTCAATCGACAACTCCGCATACTACGTGAGCAACAGATGCACGTGCTACAACGATCCCAGCAATTGGATCGGGGCGACGAAATTCCTAATGCCACACCCTGATACTCTCGTGCACATATCGGATCCGGCAGACCGGACAACGAATGTGGCATACAGAGTAAACGCGACGGGCACGTCAGGAGCAATGAGAGATCCGGAGGTGTGCACGACGGGCTTGTCAAAAGCATTGAGAAATATGGAGGTGAGCTCGGCGAACTTGTCAAGAGTATCGAGTGATGTGACGGTGAGCATAGCAGACATGACAATAGCACTGAGAGATGTGGAGGTGAGCATGGAGGAGTTGTCAAGAGCACTGAGCATGGCGACAGGGCGACCAACATGTTGGGCATGCACAAAGTGATTATTTTTTATAATCACATACGAGCACAACACGAGCCACGACCACTTCTTAAAGGCGATCTATCAGTGTAACGACGATAGGATATTGCCCGATAGGAGTAAGGACGTCAATTCCGATTTTTTAACAACATTATTTAATATTGTTAAAAAATAAATTGTAATAAATATTTTTATTATTATATTTGTTCTAGCGTCCGTTCGGACTTATGACTCACTACAGAAATATTAATGTGACAATATTCTGGTGATCGTTCATGATACTCGAGTATAATATATATATATAGATTGAAAAAATAACTTCATATTTGTTTCGATAATAAAATATCTTTACCGTAGCCATTTTGGCTCAAGATGCACGTGCGATTATTAAACATAAAAAACTTCAATGGAAGTTTTTGCTGAGGATATAGATGTCGGTGTGGTGTTCAAGAAACTTTTGGATGAGTCAGATATTCCATTGTTAAAGAACGCGGAGAACTCGGAGAACTCGGAGAACTCAGACGAACAGAATTCTGCTCAGAGTTCAAATTTTGTTTCAACCACAGACTGTAATATGACAGTTACATGGAATGTGTTCACAGCCCCACCAATCAGTTCTATTCCACTGCCTTTTTTGGATGTAGACAGAGACAGAATTCCGGATGACATCGATATCGAATTACCAATATGGACTGTGAAAAAATACCGTTTGATGCCTTCACTTTTAAACGTCCCTCTCCCACATTGGAAACTATTGAATTTGCAATAGACCCATGATACACATTCAGCGTTTGTACCGAAGGACGTGATATTATGACTTGTTTGGCATATATTTTTTTTATTAATATAAAAACCGTAAATATTATCATTATTTTTGAATAAATATACCATATTATTTTCATTAAAATCTTTTATATCTAATACTTCACCTTCTAAATAATCTTCACCAATTGACGACGACGTCAATTAAGGCCATGGACAGGCCCTTCCTCCTTAATTAACTTCATGACGTCGTCCTTAATTAGTCATTACTTCCAGTGACGTCCTTAAAAGTCGTCAAGTCATTAATTCCTTGACTCATTAATGACGTCGTCGTCATTAATTAAACGACGCCAAGGACGACGACGACGAATGACGACGGCCATTAACTAATGAACGACGACGACTTAAGAGAAGTCGACGACGACGACGACGACGACGACTTCAATGAAGGAATTAATGATTAATGATTAATTAATGACTTAAGTATGAACGACGACAATTATTAAGTAATGATGGACTACGACGACTTATGTCTTAAAGGACGACGACGACGACGTGTCCATATATATATATATATATACAAAGTGAGAGAGGGATCGATATGCATATGTACCGCCCGCCCCTTGCACCCGTGTGCCCACTTTTTCCGCCCAGGACGTCGCCTCCAAGCTGATGCTCACCATCGCCTTTGAGCCCTTGATGCGGCGATTACGCTATGTCGCCGCCCGGGCACCTCGGCCCTCGGCAGCGAGGCAGCGAGGTCGGTGGGCGCAGGTTTGCAACGTTTGCAGTCAAAATATGGGTGTGGTTGTCAACAGGGTAACCCCTTAATGGCTTCATACCTGGGTCTGCCATTTTTGAGGGCGCCGCTCTTTTTGGCCTACTTTGAAAGGGACATTAGAAGGAAAGCTACCATTTTGTTTTGGAGTGGGTCCCTAAAATCCCTAACTTTGCCACCACCGAGGGAGTGTAAGTAAGCGCAAGCTTTGACCGCTCGCGTCGCAAGCGAAAGGAGGCGGCGCTGCGTGCTTGGGAAGGCGTCTCAGGGGCCACGGCCAATCTGACAACAGAATCGGTGGTGAAGAGCTAGTCCATGTGAGGGCAGGACGCGTAAGCCCTGCCCTATTACTCCCCCCCGCTGTCAATACTCTCTTTTTGTTTTTGCGGAAACATATTTATTAATAAGGTCCCAGGGATTTTCCACTACGGCCCTCGTCCAAATGGGGCCCTTCTTTGCCAGGCGCAATAACCGTCAAAATCGTAATCCGCCGAGAAGGGAATGGACATGAAACTGCTCAAGGCACTTGTCAATCGAATTTTGACGCGAAATTAGACCTCCAATTTATAATTTGAGTTTACAACTGAAAGAAGCAAAGTGCTGAAAGTAACCCCCCAATACCGGCTGTCAGTTAGTTTGGTATTGGTGAAGTAACGTGGGCGATGTGACTTTTGGGATTTTGGCCACCCCCCCAATACCGGCTGTCAGTTAGTTTGGTATTGGTGAAGTAACGTGGGCGATGTGACTTTTGGGATTTTGGCCTGAAAAAAGCTATTTCTTGATAAATAAGGGCTGGATTTGAATCACTATGGGGGAAGCGATTGTTTGGGGGTTTGAGATTGGCCCGAACAAAAAGAGAGCGATTTCTTGATAAGGAGTGGATTTGAATCGATGGGAAGTCCGATTTGGAGCACCTCAGGTGATTTGGTTGCTGCGGCACCAGAAGCTGGCGGTGGCCCAGTGGATGTCCTTCTTGGCCGAGGGCCCCGGTGCCAGGCCGATTCGGAATCGGCTGTAGTTCAGGGACCCTTTGCACCCCCCCCCCCCCCGCTCGTGGAAACCCTCGGTGGGAAAAAAAATGAAAAAAAGGAAGTCTCGATGGAATCAGGCCCCGTTGGAAAGGGGGTCCCTTCCGCCATTTTCCTTTTGACTTGTTCCCTTCTAACTATTTTCATCACCAGGGATTTGCGGTATGTGGACTGACCTGTGGTTTGTATGGCTTTCAAAATTTTTTTGGGTTCCGTCGCGCCTCGAATGGGCGTCGCCGAAAAAGCCCCAGCGTCCCCGAAACCCGACGGCAAATCTCGGGGGGAAGAAAAAAAGAGACCTCGGGCCGCCGTCAGGTTGGTAGGGACCAGTCGTGCGGCCTGTTGTCGACCAAGGTTGCGGGTTAACCCTGTTCTTGTTTGGTTTGTTTTCCTTTGGTTGTTGTTCTCTGGTGTGTGGGAAACCCTGATCTTTGGGACCGGGGATTGGTTTGCTTTTGGGGAACCTTTCTTTTGTGGCTTGTTTACCCCAACTTACCCATTGCCTGGGCACAGGCTCGTGCCCGAATCACAGGTTATCAGCCGTAGGACTTTCCTACGCGCTTGAGACCATCAACTACAAGCTCTATGTCGACCCCACGATCTCGCAGGAGCGTCGTGGATGAGGAGGCCATCCTAGGTGGCCTCCGCTCAGGTGAGGACCTACCGGACTATGACTACGAGGATTTCGAAGCAGGTTCGACAGGTCAGGCCCGCAGGGGTGAAGATCCCGGTAGGGATACACCCAGGGGCCGTGGCAGGTACGCCGACGATGGAGACGATCGTATTTTCCGCCAGGCCACTGATGACGAGCAGACACGAAGGGTTTACTCCGATAGGAGTGGCTCTGAATCAGGTCACAGGCGTGGACGTTTTGACTTCATCAGCATGGCGATGGACATGGCCCGCCCTCATTCGGATGACCCGGAGGCCATGCCGATTCGACCTCCGAGATCTCTTGTTCCAGGTGAGTCGCAGGTCTCGGATGAGTTTGAGAATAGGCCGCAGGGACCAGGGACTATGGTTCTGGCTCCGGAAGGTATCCCGGGCCGATCCACTGGTTCTCAAAATCCAGGTCAGTTTGATGAGCACGAGGAGCGGAAATTCACGGACTTCGGATACGATGATCTGTTGAAATCAACCGCAGGTTGGGGCAGTAGCTCAAAGCAGGGATCTGATGCCGGTAGGCCCAACCCTAATACTGCCAAATCTGAGTCTTATGATGGCGAAGGTTACAATTTTGCGGAGGAGGAGGAGAGCCATTCGCGCCGAGATGCAGGCAGCCGTGCGACTGCAAGGACTAGTCCCGCCGCTGCCAAGTTTGAGGTCGATGATGATGACGAGTATGCCGCATTTGCGGATCGCCGTGATGAGGAGGAGGCCCAACCACGACGAAATGCTAGGATCCGTGATGCTGCGAGGCCCAGGAGCCTCTCTCGTGGAGCCGCCAGGGACCTTCGCGTTGACAGGGATGCCCGAAGCGAGAGAGAGAGAGCCAGGGACAGTCGGGAAGTTCTTCGGGGATTGGAGGCTATCCATGACCGTGAGGGACCGGTAGGTTCCCCGGCGATTGGTGATACCCCGAATGTTCCCCCTTTTCCCAACATTACGTTTGGAGGTCCGTTAAATCAGAGAGACGTGAACTCGAACCGGGTTACTGGTTCGCCGAGAGTCACTGAGCGGGTTGCCGATGTCGTTGGGAGAGGTGCAAGAGATGGCCGGCTTGCCGATGCACTCGCTCGGAATCGAGGATCGTCCGTCGATCGCTAGCCCGTTAGGGCGAGATACCAGTGACCTTGAAACGCTAAGGTCCAGCAACGAGTTCACACCTCAATGGGGCTCGACCGCCAGGGAACGTAGTGCTTCTGCGAAGAGACCGTCACCCCTGGCCATTGAGACCGATAGGTCGAAGGCGAGGAGGGCTAGCCCCTCACCAATGGACTCAAATCCGCAGGATGAGGAGATGCCTGATCCTGCTGATGTTCACATCCACTCTACTCCCGAGTCTCGTGCGTCCCATGTTGATCCCCGTTCCGGCGGTAGCCGTAGAAGGGGTTCTACTCCTAGCAGGCCATCTGGGGTTGGTGATTGTCCCGTGGATGACCCCAGAAGACATGCCGGGGCTAGTGGGGCTCCTGAGAGGATCGAGATATCGACTCCTCCCGCCCTTAGATCCCAGTCTTCCGGCGAATCAGGTGACGCTAGGGCGAAGGAGGTGTTCGATTTGCACATCCAAGAGATGCTCGAGAGAGGTGAGGTTTCTGGCTCAGTCGCGAAGGCGTTCCACATCTTTGCTGACCAAATCAGGGTACTGAACGGTCAGGTGAGTTCCATGCGAAGGGAATGGAGCGACGAGAGTCAACGGACGAAGGACAAGGTCGATCGCCTGGCAGCTGAGGTTGCGACTCAATCTGATGCCGGGAGGATGCGAATGATAGTTCAACGGTTCGCAAGGGAAGTTATTCCCGATAGCAAGGCCATTGTGAGACAAGCCATCGATGAGCAAGCCGAGGTCGTGGAGCAAAGGATTAACCTACTGTCCCACGAGGTCCATGAATCTGTCAGGGACAATGAGGCATCGACTGATCGGCTTCGCCTGATGATTCAGGAGAATAATGAGGCTGCCCGCAGAAGCCATGCTGCTTCTGAGGACGAGATCCTTAAGGATTTGGACAAGCTTGAGAAACGGATGTTCTCGGTAGAGAAAACCGTTGGGATGCGGACACCGGCAGGCGTATGGAACCCGAATCCTGTCGCGCATCCGTCCGATAGGGCCAGCGGCAGTGTAGTCGATGCAAATTTCAGGGAGTTAAACCTGAAGATCGAGAAAGCTCTCCTTGATCACGAGACGTTTGCCAAGTGGGCCTCTGAATCTATTGAAGGGGTCAAAGAAGAGCACACTCGTCTTGTTAATCGAGTGTCTAGACTGCAGAGTGGAAGGGGTTCTCAGGAGGTCGATAGACCATCAGGGCATGATTCCTCGCAGGACTGGCATGAGGCTGTTGACGAGATCAATCGGAAGATGCAGGATCTGGCTCGAGGAATTCAACGTCAACGTCGGGATCATGACGACATCATTTCGAGGTTTGAAGCCGTGAAGTCACATGTTGAACAGTATGAAGCGAGATCGGCAGTTGTGAATCGGGTCGTTGATGGCATCCAAGGACAGATCCGTAATCTTCCTGCCAAGGACAGATCCGTAATCTTCCTGCCAGCAGTGACCAAGTGCAGCCTGCCGGTAGGCGAGAGCTCGGCACATTCCGGAGTACACTTGAAGGTGTTATGCGGAGAGTCAGCGCTATCGATGGTAACGTGCGTAACCTTAGCGCCGCGAACAACAGAATGTCCCAGCTCTTTGAGATGGAGGGTCAATTTGACGAGGCTGCTGGCATGCTTCAGGGTGTCCAGCAGATTAATGAAGCTCCTCCACAACCCAGAGAAAGACGGAATGTTGGTTACCATGCATTTGCGGGGCAAGGACATAGGATCAGGTCACCGACGCCTACACCAGGGGAAGGTGACGGCCGGGGTACTGGCCTGCCGGTGAGACCAGGCGGAGGCGTTGTTTTGCCTGATCATGTTTTGCCGAATGTGCCCGATAGGGTCGATCCTTCTCGCGCAGACAGGCATCCCATCTATCCCGTTAGGGAGAGGTCCGACAGCAGGAGCAGGAGGGTTCGGGGGTTGCCTGACAGGTCACATTCGCCACCGGAGCGTGCAAGGGGTGGTCCCCGCGCGCGCGCAAGGGGGGACGTTTCTATTTCCCCCAATAGGGATGCGGGTAGGAATAGGAGCCCGAGGCCTGCTGCCGTCCCCAATAGGGGATCTGAGGTCCGGAGTCGACAACCGAGGGGGGAGAGGCCGATCCGCGATAGCGGGAGCGTCTCTCCGAATTTTGATAGGCCAATCCGCGATAGCGGGAACGTCTCTCCGAACCCAGGTTGTGATTCAGGAGGTGGTGGGGATAATAGGGTCCATGCCGACATCCAGAGTCCTGGTGATGAGTGGAGGACTCCTGGGAGTAGAGCCAGCGCCGACACCCAGAGTCCCGGCGATAGGCGAGGGACTGCTGGAGCTCCTTCGGATCGTGGACAGGCCTCAGCGCCGGCTGCAAGAGGGGCTCCCGGCGGTGATGGCCCAGACGCGCCAAAGATTTGTGCCCTCGATGATCCCAACGACCGTAAGCACCCGAATGCTGAATTCTCGTGTGTGACATGCAGTCGTGAGTTCTGCGGGCTTTGCCGTGGTGACGACGGGGACTGTTGCAATTGTCACTTCTTGAAAATGAAATGCTGGGCATGCCGCAAGAATGCTCAGGAGGTCTCCATGTATCTCTGTACGGATTGTGGGACTCACGTTTGTGAGAATCACAGTTACTTCGGGAATGACGGCCTTGAGCGATGTGCGCGCTGCAATATTCGGCATGAACGCGCTCAAGCTGGACCGCCCCCTCCTCCTCCTCCCGGGGGAGGTGGTGGGCAAGGCGGACCACCTGGTCAAGGTGGGAGCGGAACTGGTGGGCATGGACATGCCCCAGCTCCACCGCCAGGTCCTGGGCATTATGGTGGAGGCCAAGATTCCGCTGGGCCTTCTGGAGGCCCGAGTGGAGGGGCTCCTACCGGGGGTTACCCTGGTGGGGCGCCTGGGTTCCACGGTAGTGCTGCGGATACTCATGGAATTGGGAACAATCAGTGTGGTTCCAGTTTCTATGGTCCTGCATACGGAGGTGGCGTTAGTCACCAAGGGGTTGGCGCTGGCGTAAGTCAGTCTTGCGATGCCACGGGTTACCCCTCAAGTGTTGCGAGCGGTGGTAACCTTGGGCCGGGTCTTAGCCTCGGCTATAGTGTGAGTGGTGCCGGTAGGCAGGGAGATGGTGGTCTTCTCCCTGAAGCCTTGAGGGGAGATGATGGACGGGACAGGTGCACTAAGTGTAACAGGATCCCTGAGCCTGGTTTCCCTCTTGTTCCTTGCGTTGGTTGTGGAATGAGGGCGT